ACTGTTCAATATTGTAAAGTAAGTGAAGATTGGTAAAACACTCAACCTGTTTTGAAGTGCAAACTATATTATTGACTTTACTATGCATGCACTATATAGGGCAACCGGTTTACTAAGCATATTACTGGGCGGCACTCAGCCTGTCATTCCGCCGAATCTCTATTCGGCGTTTATCTCTATTGTTTATGAACATTATAGCCTGGGATCCCGGCCCCAGGTAATACAGCATACAGTTTACTACAGATAAAACCCGTTCTAATACCGTTGTGTCCCGATTTACACCGGTAGAACTATCTAAACTAATATTTTATTTACAGGCTTTTAGGTTTATAACCTACCAAAACGTGCGCCGAGTTGGACTCGTCGACGGTCTTGGGACAAATATTTTACAAGAATCACCCTTGAAAACAGACCAAAGCAGCCGTATTTTCTAAATGGAACATTGAGCCACTGCATGTCACTTACACAGTAAATCTGTTTGTAATTTACGCATCTCTTTAGGCAGGAATAGTAATCATAACTTTAGTCGTATGAGTCATGAGTGCCAGTGACTAACATAATTGCTTTGTGTTTGCTAGATAGCTATAAAATATACACAGAAAAAGTGACCATTTTGCAGCTGTAATTATTAGGTTTTTGCTCATTTTGGTAACAATTTTTTGTTGACTTAAATCAAAAATTAAAAAACAATTTATTTATAAATCTTAAATGAACAAAGATTCTCAATAAAAGGTTTCCACTCGATCACTAGATTCCAGAATGGAACATCTTAAGGAAAAAATGATAGAACTATATTCAATATTGTTCTTAGATAGTCAGTTGTTATTGCAGTAAAAGAAATCCATCCCAACTGAAGATAAAGCAATTTTAATGTAACATGCAGTAAACAAAACGTAACCCCAAAAAACCGATCACAATGTAGATCCATATTCATTGCACATGCGCTGTACTGCACTCGTTACTATGCAACTTACTATTTTTCGACAAACTTGCACGTGGGCGGCCATACAGAGAGAAACTTTCAAATTATAATATGGATTATCAGCATTGTTATCAAAATGCTGCTGTATAAGTTCAGTCAATTCTTTTGAGAAAGAATCAAGAGATGTTGTTGATGTACATTCCAAAAAAGGTACCCCCATCTCTTTTGCTTTGTCTCTCCATTCGAAGGATTTTAACAGTTCATTTGTGTGTTTAGGCTTCTCCATATCCTCTAAGTCTAGTGCTGTCACTGTGCTATCTACATCTCCCAAATCTGATTTCATACAAACCATCACCATCAGTGCGGTGTTGGACCAGTTCTGAGCCATCGGGATCCACTTCATTATCACATTGTTTAATGAATCTCTGTCATCAATACTAAAGCAAGTCAGGAAAACTTTACTTCTCAAAAACGTAAATTGTCTGATGTTATCATACTCCTTTTTCCCACTTGTATCCCAAATTTCGACAATCGAATCCTCAGTTTCAACCTCAACTGGTTGAGGACTCACATCTGGTATCCATGATAATGGCCAATTTCCTTCAGAGTAGCGGGCCAAAAGAGCAGACTTCCCTACGCCACTATCTCCCAGTAGCATAACTTTAAACTTCTTTTTTGGTGGATCAATTTGACCAATATCAGTTGCTCTGTCGTCAGATTTGGTGTTTAGTAGCTGACGTCGTTGGAAGTCAAACATTGGACGGCCCATTTCAAAGGCTCCTAAAGAACTTTTTCTTCGAACTCGTGACTTTTCATACTTGTCCAGATCCTCAGACTGGCTCCCTAGTATAGAAGATGACTTCATTCCATTATCTTCATCTATTGATGATTGGCTTGCACTTAGAGTTTTATTTACTGGTGTTTTTCGGTTGTTACTCCTTGGTCCTCTGTTACTATTTGATCTCTTAATGGAACCAGATCTCTTAATGGATCCAGATCTTGATACCTTGTTTACTGACAAACTCTGAGTCCTCCGTACTGAAACCTTTCCCGATGATTGGGGTTTTTCTTTACTAATCCTTCTAACATCTTCAACTATTTCCTCTCTTCGTTTACGACATCATTTGTATCTTCTCCTATCTTCTCCTCGTTGAGATGAGAAAAATCATCGTCAGCTGGTTGCTCAACTGATAAGCTAAAATGAGAAACTTCTTCAGTCATATTGTTACATACTGGAGCTAGCAACAAAACAAAACACTTACGAAATGGGTGGGCTAGGTTTGTGCAGTCTCAGGATGCAGTTAATTTTAATTAACTTGATTAGGCAATTAGGCCACAACATTGTAGATGTACGAATTAACCCGAATTTTGAGGACAGGCTACTCTGTTGGCTTATGAGCTTTGATATCAACAATATCTCATGGTAATTAATTGTCCTTCCATATCAACGAGTAAAAAATTAGATTACAGTTGAAACAATATTATTCCTTCATCTAAACTTCTAACTGCTTCGTGAACAGTCAGGGCCTGCAGCTAACATTAATGAGCACATGCGGTTATATTGTTCTAAATAAAGAGTTTCTCATGTGAGAAGTAATGGATCACAAATTTAAGCGATTGGGTCCTTATTTTGTGACCCCCTTGGGAAATCACTATGTTTTCATCGATATGCATATTTATTTGTATTGATTTATATTATAACAGTATAACGATATAAATCGATATCATTACATAAAATGTGGTCGTGTGGATGGCTGAGAATTGTGACTGAAAATAGCAGGAGTTTAGTGTTTATGTAAGTGTGTAATTGCACAACAAACACAAGCTTCCTACACTCATATAATAGTCAAAGAGCGTTGCACCAAACTCATTGTATTTGTTGAAATTGTGTGGTTAGGGAACAATCCTTCATTTTCAGTTACACATTACGTATGTTGTTACTCTATTTCTAAAATCATAACTCGATTTCAAATCATTACTTTATTCGAAATTAGGAAATACCTTTATAAGAAGTGTTATTTTCTCGAATTTCGAAATGCTCATTTGACGCTGCGTAAACTCTCCCTCATAGCAGTTATGAATGGTGAGCCAGATGTCTTTACAGCCCTTGTTCCACATGTTTTCTGTTTCTCATCACCAAGTGTGAGAATAATAATAACTGTGATACCTGAACTCTCAGAACATGTCTTGTACAATACCCCCACTTGAAATACAATCCGTCTTTTTCTAGCTACGCTTCACATGGTACAGTTAATCACAATTGAATCGAAATTTGATCCAGTCTTACTTGCCCAGTGCCCACTCATAAAACAGCTCATAAAACGTTTTGAATATCAAGGTGTCGAATTAATTGCTTGTGTTAGTTATGGCATTTTTTTTCAACCGAGGGAGATGAAATAACAAAACTGACGATATCAGATATATAGTAATGAATTTAACTACTAACGTTAGTTTCTCAAGACATGAAATAAGCTGATCTACTCACTGATATAATAGTAATACTTTGTAACCTAACTTAAACTTATCATTTGCTGATCATATTCTTGTACAAGTTTTAGATAATTTTAAGATTTCCTTTTAGAAACTCTATTTACAGTACGCACATGTCACCATGGTAACCATGGCAACTCTCGTCGTAATCCACAATCGCATTAGGTTTTCCAAAGTAATCTGCAAATAATACCCTCTTAATTGAATACAGTGTATATTTGAGAGAGCATGCTCGTAAGAGAAACACGTGGCATTGTAACGTGGTTAGAGTCACGTGATAGGAGTCAGCACTCTCACTGTAACCATGGTCACGTGATAACTGTCAATACTCCTACTGTAACCATGGTCACGTGATCAATGTCAATACTCACACTGTAACCATGGTCACGTGATAGGAGTCAGCACTCTCACTGTAACCATGGTCACGTGATAGGAGTCAGCACTCTCACTGTAACCATGGTCACGTGATAACTGTCAATACTCCTACTGTAACCATGGTCACGTGATTACAGTCAATACTCACACTTTAACCCTGCTGACTATGTGCTCTGCGTACCACGATCCCTTCACTCCGGTCTTCTCAGTGATAGTTCATTCTCTTCTTAGAAATGGAAATAAATAGTCACCCATGTGGCAATTTGAATCATGAATTTGAACGCGACTATTCTTTGCTCTGAATTTAGTGCATCAGATCCATTGGTTCAGATTTAGTTTCCGGTGACGTCACAATTCAATTAGTTTTACACCCGTTGAAGTTCACTAGGGAACAGCGCGCAGGGGAAGGGCTGGCGAGTGTTTAATAAGTAAGCAACATGCACATAGTCCTGGTTCAATCAATAAGTGAGGGGTTGCCATGGTTACAATTCAGGGTTACTAGCCATGGTTACTATTAACGAGATATCACTGAAAGGAAGTGTAAGTGAACAAGTTTTATTCTCACGTGCAGACCAATAACAATATGATATTAATCACAGGCCTGGTCTGATCACTGGCCTGTGTTTTAATTGTGTACAAAGTTAGGCCTACTACCGGGCAATCACCAACTCATGAGTTGTTTGATATGACCATTTCAGCATTGGATGTGGTGAGATCGAAATGTTGATCACTGAGCATATCCCGATCCGAATTATAATCGCGTTCAATTTACGCTGATCCTGTTTTGTCAACTTTACTGCTTTATTAAAACACTATGATATATTTGTTATTTTATGGTCATTATGTAGCGGGTTTAGCGGGTTAAGCGGGTTTTCAATGCAGTATTGAGTATGTTTTCAGAATAACCCAAATAAATTACATTAATAGAAACTTAATCCTCAATAAAACGTTAAATTTAAGTACATGCTACCTCATAACCCGTGCGTTATGTATTTTGATTCATGGTGTTATGACGACGAAGCCAGGACGACTCATTTGGCATGTTACATGTTAATTTGGTCCTTTTAGCGTGACGCTTATTAACCATTTAATTAAACCGTCGCAGTAGCATTAAAATTTGGTAAATCCTTGTGTTGTTTTAATCCCAATAATGATTCTGGCACACCCTTCATGCCTGCCTATAGGTCGATCTAATCCCAGTGCTTTTCTCAGAATGGTAATATGTTTACTTAGCCTACTCCTACTACTCCTACTACCTCTCCTCTCCTCTTCCTCTTCTCTCAAACTAACACCTATCTTAAGTGAACACGCACTTTGTAACGACCACACACAAGCTAAATACTACATCGACAAAAAGGAGCCGGGCTCCTCAAAATGGATCATATATCTGGAGAGTGGTGGAGGGTGTTCCACCAAGGAGCGGTGTAAGGAGCGGTACAGCTCCTCTACTATCCTCATGTCTTCAAAGTGGCTGGATGACTATGTTGAGATAGACGGTCTGGATATTTTGTCATCAGATGACGAGAACCCTTTCAGTGACTATAATCATGTGTATTTGCCGTATTGTAGCAGTGATATGTATGTAGGAATGAACGAGAAACCTGGTTCAAGTTTTGATAAAGAAGATGGAAACTTCGTATTTGCTGGTTACCACATTGTACAAGGTCTCATGGCGGATCTGAAAAACATTCCAGAAGCTCAGTTCGAGGATATAGTCCTTGCTGGTTCGAGTGCGGGTGGTATTGGAGTTATTAACCATATCAGGCTAACTAAGGGACTGTTCCTCCCCACTTTCAGTGATGTTCGTGTTCGGGGGGTTGTTGACTCCTCCTGGTTTATTAATTTCGAAGACAATTTCCTACTTTTCTGGGACTCTACCAGTGCAGATGAGCTTACAGGGTACAAGAGTTTCCCTAACATGGTTTCTGATGAGGATACTAGAAAGCAGTGCTCTCTTGAGTATGGGGGAATGCCCTGCTGTTTTCAAGCAGACTGCATGGAACATCACATGGCTTTTACAGATTTAGAGCTATTGTTCATACAAAGCAAAAACGACATTTATCTTCTTCAAAGTTCTTTGGTGAGTACACTCGAATTTATTTGGAGCTTTCTAGGTAAACTTTTTAAAGTGAAATTGTGAATAAGTTTTAAAGTGTTATCACTTATCGTGAACAATCCTTTTTTTAATTAACATTTAAAATGTTGTTCATCACTTCAGTCTAGATCTATACTAACTAATACAAAGGTGAGTTCATAGTGTCGTGAATAATGACGTATATGTGACGTATGTGTGACGTATGAAGTTACATATGTGTGACGTTTGTGAAGTATGTGCCCAAACATTCCGTGCCTCGTTAGTGGGACTTATATAGAATAATTGAATAACTTATTTTGATAAAATAACATAAAATTTGAAATACTCTACCCAGATAAGGTCCCTGCAGTCAAGATCCCTCCAAAAGAAAGGATTTGACGCTATAGCTCTGTCCCACGTAGCTGATATAGCGTCAAGTTACAGTGGCGCTATGATACTATCTGTCAACTCTACCAAGAACACTAAATTATCATACTACCTGACTTCCTGCTTACAGGTTGGAATGTCTTATCAAGCAATTGTTAACTTTATCAAGGCTTTAAAAAAGTCTTTATCCACTTCTAAAAGTTGTGATATAGTGTTTGAGATCCTTATTAACCATATCCCTCGCCACTAAGATCAACGATGTTATATTTCAGACAACATTTCTAGCATATTCCATGCCCGATTGTAACTTTTGTAACCTCTACTTGTAACCTTTGTAACCTCTACTTGCAACCTTTGTAACCTCTACTTGTAACCTTTGTAACCTCTACTTGCAACCTTTGTAACCTCTACTTGTAACCTTTGTAACCCCTACTTGTAACCTTTGTAACCTCTACTTGTAACCTTTGTAACCTCTACTTTTAACCTCTACTTGTAACCTTTGTAACCTCTACTTGTAACCTTTGTAACCCCTACTTGTAACCTTTGTAACCTCTACTTGTAACCTTTGTAACCTCTACTTTTAACCTTTGTAACCCCAATAACTCTAATTGTCAGCACGTTTACCTAGCTCCCTCTTCTTTCTGGTCTAAAGGTCAGCCCCTCAACCAGCTGGACGAGAAGGGGTTTGCGGAGATCTACCAGGCTCTTAAAGACCTCGACCTCGAGACCTTTCCTATCAAGTTAGCTAATCATCCTGCTGATTTGTTAAACTGCCAGTTGTTTTGGCGCGAAGTTTTACGTTTTTAAGGGCAATTAAGTTGTACATAATCTGTGTATTTGATTATAAAATGCGTAATAAGTTATGTTAATTTTATTAGTATATATTTCCTAGGTTTAATCAGTTGATCAGACCTAAAACGATGTATAGTGTCAAAGTTGGTCCTCCCGAATATCCAGAGAAAACACTATCGGTAAGTAAATTAAAAGATATTTAAAATTTGCCTATTTTAATTGCTTCATCAGTCATCTTATCTTTTATGTTTCTTTAGCGCATGCCAAAGGTCGTGTCGTCCACGTGGGAGGTGGCCGACTGCCGAGGGCTGTCACTTTCCGTGCCTGTCACTAAGGCTGTCACCTCGATAAGTGGTGAATGCTGGCCTTCTGCAAACAAGTGACAGAGCATGGCAAAATGACCAGTGGCAAATTCGGAACTTCTCTCACACCAGGGTACCATGGGTTTAGGCAGGTTGTATCTTTTAAAGAGGGGCATTCTTGATTAGAAACTAAGCTCAACTTCGCTAAACCCAGGATGTTATATCAGAGTGGGCTGCTGACTCCTCGGAGATGATCTACGTGCAGGATGGTTGTGTGGGTATAGACTGTAATCCTACCTGTCCTGATAAACTTGAGTTTGTTTACACTACCAACTCCTGGTCCGACACTGCAAATATAACTGTCATGTCCATATTAGGTTAGTCACTACTCACTGGTAATGTCCATATTAGGTTAGTCACTGGTAATTTTCATAATATTAGGTTTGTAAAACTCATCGTTTACTCGAGGGTTATTGACAAAGTTGTTCACAGTATGTCTTACATGAATTGACTGTAAATATGTACACTAGAAATTTCCACAGCCATGTCAAGCAATTTCATCATGTTTCTATACTTTCATAGATTTTCTATGTCGTATTTATTCAATAACATTATAACATTGATTCAGAGGAAGTAGCAAGTAGCTATTTGTCAGACCCTGAAATAGCTCCCCCTCAGGTTCCATAACACTGGTATGTCTGATAATGAAGCTAGTAATGATGGTCCTGCTATCCTGGCTCCAGATCCAGCAGAGGGATTACAACCTGGGTGTTGTGGCCACAGAGAGTTTTATACCCGCTCTGGGTCCATCTGATATGATGAGTGTTTCGTGCGTTGATCTTAGTCACTCCATCACGTACGTTATCGACAAAGGTATGGACTTTATCTGTTTTGCTGATTGATCTGGGTAGAGGTGGGGGACGTGAACCGTAACTTTCCTGGCACGTGACTGTGGTTAGCCAGTCAGCTTCCAGTATTGACCAATCAAAATTTAGAATCACTGTCACGCGTGAGAACAAATATGTTTCACACCCTCCACCAGTATCACTGATCGATAGATTGATTTATATTAGATTGATGACTTATTTTCGGCTTAAACTAGATATTGATGAAACATGAGTGAGATTTTAAGCGATCGTAAAATTAAAATGGGGGGGGGGGGGGGGGGGGGGGGGTGTCACGTCCGTCTATGTCCGCTTGTCTCATAGAATCCAAAAAGGACAGGACATAGGCGGACATAGGCGGACATAGGCGGACATAGACGGACATAGGCGGACATAGGCGGACATAGACGGACATAGGCGGACATAGGCGGACATTAATGGACACCTAAATTGCTAAATAAAATGTTCAAGTTTTGATGTTATAGGGGGATCATGTTTTTTGTCCGTTCGGTACCCTATATTTTCAAAACGGACTAAAAATAGAGCGGACAAAAACGGACAAAAATGGACAAAAACGGACAAAAATGGAAATAACATTTAGATGCTTCCTCCTCCTACTCTTCCTCCCCCTGGGTCTTCCTGATCTTCCTCAGTCCTCTTCCTCCTCCCCTCCTCAGTCCTCCTCCTCCTCCTCCTCCTCGTCCTGAGTCCTCCTCATCAGTCCTCAACAGTCCTCCTCCTCCCCAGTCCTCCTCCTCCTCCTGAGTCCTCAACCTGGGTCCTCCTCCTGGGTCCTCCTCCTCCTCTTCATTCTCCTCCTCTTCCTCCTCAGTCCTCAGTCCTCCTCCTCATCCTTCTCCTCAATCCTCCATACTCCTCCTCAGTCCTCCCCCAGTCCCCCTCCTCCTCCTCCTATTCAGTCCTCCTCCTCCTCCTCCTTCTCAGTCCTCCTCAGTCCTCCTCCTCCTCCTCCACCTCCTCTTCCCTCTCAGTCATCCTCCTCCTCCTCCTATTCAGTCCTCCTCCTCCTCCTCCTCCTTCTCAGTCCTCCTCAGTCCTCCTCCTCCTCCTCCTCCTCCTCCTCTTCCCTCTCAGTCATCCTCCTCAGTCCTCCTCAGTCCTCCTCAGTCCTCCTCAGTCCTCATCCTCAGTCCTCCTCCTCCTGGGTCCTCCTCCTCCTCTTCATCCTCCTCCTCTTCCTCCTCGGTCCTCAGTCCTCCTCCTCCTGGGTCCTCCTCCTCATCCTTCTCATCAGTCCTCCTCCTCCCCAGTCCTCTCCCAGCCCCCCTCCTTCTCCTCCTCCTATTCAGTCCTCCTCCTCCTCCTCCTCCTCAGTTCTCCTCAGTCCTTCTTCTCATTTCTCCTAAGTCCTCCTCCTGAGTCCTCCTCCTCTTCCTTCTGAGTCCTCCTCCTGAGTCCTCCTCCTCCTCCCTCTCAGTCATCCTCCTCAGTCATCCTCCTCAGCCATCCTCCCCAGCCATCCTCCTCAGCCATCCTCCTCAGTACTCCTCAGTCCTCCTCCTTCTCAGTCATCGTCAGTCCTCCTCCTCAGTCCTCCTCAGTCCTCCTCCTCCTCCTGGGTCCTCCTCCTCCTCCTCCTCCTGGGTCCTCCTGGGTCTTCCTGATCCTCCCCAGTCCTCTTCCTCCTCCCCTCCTCAGTCCTCCTCCTACTCTTCCTCCTCGTCCTCAGTCCTCCTCATCAGTCCTCAACAGTTCTCCTCCTCCCCAGTCCTCCTCCTCCTCCTGGGGCCTTTTCCTGGGTCCTCCTCCTGGGTCCTCCTCCTCCTGGGTCCTCCTCCTCCTGGGTCCTCTTTCTCCTCCTCAGTCCTCTTTCTCCTCTTCCTCCTCCTCCTCCCTCTCAGTCATCCTCCTCAGCCATCCTCCTCAGCCATCCTCCTCAGTCCTCCTCCTTCTCAGTCCTCCTCAGTCCTCCTCCTGAGTCCTCCTCCTCCTGAGTCATCCTCCTCAGTTCTCCTCCTCCTCCTCCTAGGTCCTCCTTCTGGGTCCTCCTCCTCCTCCTGGGTCTTCCTGATCCTTCTCCTCCCTCTCAGTCATCCTCCTCAGTCATCCTCCTCAGTCATCCTCCTCAGCCATCCTCCTCAGCCATCCTTCTCAGCCATCCTCCTCAGTACTCTTCAGTACTCTTCAGTACTCTTCAGTCCTCAAAATGTTTGTCCGCTAATGTCCACCAATGTCCGCTAATGTCCACCAATGTCCATCCAAGTCCGCCAATGTCCGTCCGGGTCCGCCAATGTCCGTCCGAGTCCGCCAATGTCCGTCCGAGTCCGCCAATGTCCGTCCGAGTCCGCCAATGTCCGTCCGTGTCCGCCAAAGTCCCAAAAAACACGTCCGTTGTCTCATAGAATCCAAAAAGGACAGGACATAGGCGGACATAGACGGACATGACACCCCCCCCCCCCTGTAACGTAACGAAAATATTTTAAACGGTCATATCCTGTCGAAACCCAGGATGCATGACATGAAGAATTCGTTGTACCTTTGTATGAAAAGCATTAATGTATTCTGTGTAAAATTATCTTTATCCCGGTTGTTGCGACAAGTGAAGATGCTCTTATTAGGGAAAGGAGTTTACTCAAAAAGCATTAATAGCTGAACCCCTCAGATGAGGGTGAGGGAGGTACAGGGTTCAAGAAACTGGAAAATGATGTCGAGGGTAACGGACCTCTCCTGGGAAACGGGAAAGTAAAATTATCGAACAAGCCCTCCAAACTCTCAGTTATCTCTACACATCTCAATAAAAAGACAAGGTATATTCCTGATCTCTTTGTTCGTGATGTTCTTTATCGATAGGTGAAACAAAGTGGAAGAATTCTTGTCTCAGTGTCTAAAAAACTTTCTTGTTTGTCTAGAAAACAGCTTAATTAAGTCAACTTCATTAAGTCAACTTCATTAAGTCAACTTCATTAAGTCAACTTAATTAAGTCAAATTAATTAAGTCAACTTAATTAAGTCAACTTAATTAAGTCAACTTAATTAAGTCAACTTAATTAAGTCAACTTAATTAAGTCAACTTAATTAAGTCAACTTAACTAAGTCAACTTCATTAAAACAACAACACCCCTCAACAGTAAGAAGCAGATCCTGGACAAGGTGTCCGTGTACTTTAACCCTTCCTCTTTTGTGGGTATTATGGGTCCGAGTGGGTGTGGCAAGACCACATTCCTGGATGTGGTAACTGGACGGAGAGAGATCAGCAGTCATCAGCAGGCAAAGGTACCGTGGAATATGTTTAATTTTGTTTTGTTTGAGAATGTTGCATTGGCTATTGTGGCTTCTAAGACTCGCTTGAAAGATTTTTAGTGTGTGATTCAAACTCATTCCTTGAATTATTGGTCGGCCTAAAGTCTAAACAACATCTTTGTAGCGCTTACGCAGTAGAAGGAAACCAAGATCTCAAGTAAATAACCGTTCCCAGATTTGTTGTCTCTATTTGATCAGTAGTTGTGAACTGTGAACTGTGAACTGTGAAGTGACTGTTAACTGTGACTGTTAACTGTTAACTGTTAACTGTCTCTGTGAATGTTGTTGTTAGTTTGATGCTGGTTACACTTGTCCCCCAGCTGTATTACTGTTATAGACCAGTAACAACCCAATTGACACCCCGCCCACAATACTCGCTGTTTATTGAGATATTGCAACTCTGGAATCTTAGGAATTACGTGATAATGTTGGTTTAAATACTTTGATAAAGTGATAAACAGTATTTAAGTGGTTGGGGCCGGTTGGGGCCAGCTGGCTATCTTAGTTGCGACTGCTCAATTCTGTTTATATCAAGATTATTTATAATCGTGATAATCATGAGATATTTATTAGAACATTATTGCATAATTATGATATATTTGTTAAAATTTGCTAAATTAACAACATATCACCGGATCCTCTTATTAGATTCTGATAGACGGACAGGATTTTGATGGGATGAAGGAGGAGTTCACTAAAATGTTGGCGTATGTGCTGCAGCTGGAGAGACCGTATCATGAGGCACTGACCGTCAGGGAGAATCTCACTTTCGAGTTAGTGTGAAATAGTGAAATATTGAGATAGTGAAATATTGAAATAGTGAGATAGTGAAATAGTGAAATAGTTAAATATTGAGATAGCGAAATAGTGAAATAGTGAAATAATGGATTTATATAGTATCCTGTCAAATGGTAATCTCAAATAGTCGAGTGTCAAATAGTGGTGTTACTTCTTACTTCATTGCTGCTAATGACTAAATGGTGACTCATTTCATATAGTAGAGGCTCTTACGGGCAAAAAGACGTGTTTTCTGCTACGAGTTTAGAGACCTAACCGCTAATTGGACACAATAGTATGATGTCTAAGAATCGATAATATGTTAAGAAGTATAAATTTGGCCTTATTAGTCACGTGCTATACCAATGCGCGTTTTAAACTTTGACAGTCTATTACTCTAAGGCAAATAAAGTAATTATATTCATATTTTGTCAGCAATAAGATTACATTTTTTTCTATTTGGTGTGAAAATATGAGCTAGAACGGACATAATCTCGCTGAGTTATAGCTGTTTGAAATTTATGATGAACGCGCGGATGCCAATTGATAACAACTAAATGCTTTTGCGCGTAGTGCGCGTCGAAAATTTGGCAAAAACGCTTGCGGAGTGACAATATTCAAACTTCGATAAAGTATATGAAGTGGGTACTTCTCGGAAAGGAAAAATTTAGGCAAACACGATGTGACTATTTTTGGGTTGATTTAATACAACTGCAAAAAATTATTCAAACTTCAAGCAAAAAAGTCAAAATTTTTACCACTTTTTTGGATTTTTACCCCCAAAAAAATAGAGGGATTTTTCAAATTTTTAAACCATCTTGTGCGGCTGTGTTTTAGCTATCTCCATGCAAGTTTTGCCGACATACCAACAAAATTAACTTGTTCAAAATATCAAAAAACATGGTTTTTTTGGCCTATTTTTTGCCCAAAAATCGGTTTTTTGCGGGTTTACCCCCAAAAAGTCAGTCCAATCATCTTAAAACCACTTTTAATCGATTCTACGGTCAAAAATACGCCTAATAAGGTGTATCTGGGGTCCCTAGCGTATCGGGCAGACAATGCCCCTAAGAGCCTCTACTAATAGGAAACGTGCATAATTCATTACCATTTGATCCGCATAGTAGGCAATAGCAGACATTTAATGTATAGGACCGGAATGAAGGCTATATGGTATGTGGTATGTGGTTACGATATTACTCAGATAATTCTACAGGACCTGAGAATGATTAATCACGTTACCTTATGATCAATGAAATGAAAATTTATCTAGATCGTTTGGGCAGGGCCTTAAAGCATATCAATCAAATTAAATCAAAGAAAATGTGCTGCGTCTCATATCTCTGTCTCAAGCTTATACACTTATAACTCTACCAGGGCACTGATGAGACTTCCCAAAGACTGCCCTCTCAGTACTGTGTTTAACAGGGTCGAGACTGTTCTTCAAGAGGTGCGTCTTTCAAATACTCATTGCACAATTATCATATAATTAATAATACCATTTCCTTATTTTCCACCTTTAAATAAAATCATGAATTCCTTCATCTTTACTCGATATTGTTTTGTGATATTTTATTTTATCCTTCCTTATCTTAGTGTGGATTAGATAAGATAGCTGATGCAGTAGTTGGTGGAGATGCTGGGGGAGGTATCAGCGGTGGCCAGGTTTGTAATCTAGATTTTGTATCACAACTTCTCGTCAAATATCTAAGAGGCTGACAGATAATGAGTCATTACAATACGATTTTACCCAATCGTTTTACTTCTTATCACTAGTGTAAGTGTGTTCTCTTTCAGAAGCGGAAGCTATGTGTAGCACTCCAGTTGATAGACTACCCCAGTATCATCTTTTTAGACGAACCAACATCAGGTTAACACCCTAGTTGTAGTGATAAGAGTTGACGGTAATAATTATAAGTTTAGTGTAATGATAAGAGGATTAGTTGAGGTTTTCCCAAGCGATTTATTCTAATTTTGATCATATTATCACCGCATGACACATAATCATGTATTGTCTTATTGTTTTGAGGTGTCGAAGAGTAAAATGCTATCACCCGTCCATTAAGGAACCAGTCATCAATACTCTGTCCTAGGCCCTTCATCCCTTCACCCAAAATTATTATTAATGTGGATATTTAACACCCTGCTTAATGGTCACTTCAAATTGTTTTCATGTGTCTTTGTAATTTTCAATTATAACATGACGGTTAACGATTAACAAAACCCATCCTCCCTCATTGTCTCCTCAAATTCAACCCAACCACAAAATAAGTTAAAACTTAAATAAGTTAATTAATTAATTATAACTCCATCTGCCCCTCAGGTCTAGACTCTACAAGTTCGTATGAGCTGATGGCGATGTTGTCCAAACTGCAAGTCAGCAAAAGGTGTATAGTGCTGACTATACATCAGCCCAGACAAGAGATATTTCACTTGTTTACTCACATTCTACTTCTCGTCGGCGGACAGGTTCGTTCATACAGCATATTATTCAGCGTGCGAAGTATGTGCATATTTTTTGTTGCTCGGCTTCAAATTATAGGCTTTTCTCCAGTTATATCAATCGGTTTCCTCGTTATATATGTAGATGTTGATATATCTTAATGGATTATGGGTGATCAGGTATGGCCTCGGCCTCTATACGGCCTCCGCACGGCCATATAGAGGCCGTATCCTGGCAACGGAGAGGCCATACCTAATTAATGACCTAATCTATCTCTCCTCTTTAGTGCAAAATGGTCAATACTGCTATCTGTATTATGAAATGAATCGAAATTTTATTCAATAAAACCTTTGTTTGATAAACTAAACCAGCCATTTTCACAACTAGGTTGCATTTTACGGCTCACCCCTGAAAGCTTACGGTGTCCTGGAAACAGCTCTGAAGAAGAACAATGTGGAAATCAAAGATTTTGTGGGGGACGCTGACATCAAAAATGAAGCTGATTTACTGATGGACATGCTCAATAACGTTAGTCTTATCGAATTTCTTACTTTAATTGTGCAACTTATGAACTGAGGTCCCACATCCAAAGTGGTGATCCGAAAGTTTTGACTTTTCTTTTATTTCAAAAACCGGTTACTTAAGTCTAAGAATTGGGAGGTATCCATGGAAACTGTGACACTTTATGGAGCTGAAACGTTTTGTAAACTTTCGTTATCCAAAAAATAATTTAATCTGAAAAACTGTGAGTAAGCAATTAAAATTGATTACTCACATGACACATATTATATATATTACAAAAATGTTATCTTATCACCGATATTGCTCAGATTTGACTGTATGTGAGCATTAATTGCTGAAAGAAATCTCAAATCACCGAACATTTTCTGATTCTTCTCTCCTCAGGAGAATGCACAAAAGATAATGATAGATTACTACAAAGAGACAGAGCTGGAGAACGTTAAGGAAATAATCGCTAAGACAAAACTTTTACAACCGTTCAACAAGGATACGATCACATCTAGAAAGAAAATGTTAGTTTTAACTTACATATTTTAATTTATCTTATTATAATATATTATTATCTATCTTATTATTACATATATTATATTATATATTCCAAGTTCACTTACAGTTACACTGTGAACCTCCGGCAATAAATGTCAAAGATTCTCAAGTAACGCCATTTCTTTACTGATTCACACGTCACATCTAAAATTATTTGAATGGATGAAATAAGGTCAGATTGAGTCTTTAACTTCAACAAAGATCTGGCATTGTATGAACCTTTATACTCGTGACGTGATGTGTGCGTCATGGCTGTAACTATATTTCAACTGGTTCAGAGAACCAGTACATTTAATAAAACACTCCCCCGCACGACGTGAGGCGCCCCTGGGTATCACGTGTAAGTGAATACTGTTAACACTGTAAGTACTGTAAGTATTATAAGTTATGTAAGTAATGTAAGTACAATATGTCGGCATAACATAATGTAAGCAGCAGACTCACAGACACCCCACTTTCCCTACATCATGTACTCTCTCCCGGACAAGAGAGAAGAGGAGAAACCTTAACTAAATTTACACTAAAACCATTAGCTACGTAACCCGATCTTGCGGCTTCAGAGAGCTGAACCAGGCTGGCTTCATCCCAGCGGAGTTGTGATGTAGCACTGGTAGTTTGTTGACTGGGATGGGAAAATTAGTGGTCGGTTGTCTTGCAGTGCGAGATATACTGTTACTCCGTATATTATCAATAACTAGCTACATATTGCATCACAGTGTTGATAAGACGGAGATTGGATTGTTTACGCGGATACATTATGTGACTAAATTTAGCAGCACGTTTCTGCACTGATTACAGATTACAGAGACTTGTGTTACCCTATAATTCGGCAAATATTTGGATTCGAAATTTTGTGTTTCGGTAAGATCGAATAGTTGGATAGTGAATATTCGGCTGACAGGATCGTTTTGGAGATCCGGATATCCAGTTAATTCCGTATTCGTTCACCAAATACCGAATTCTACCAAGTTACAGTATTAATAACTGATATCGTCATTCATTAATCAGATTATAATAAGATAATAAGTGAGTATAATTTGAGCTCACCTAGTTTTAGACACTGAACCATTTCCATTACATCATTACCGGGCTACGATTACTCATATTCTGTTTTAACAGAAACCGTATTACTGTGGACATGAAACTTTTTGGATAACTGAACAAAATCTGTAGACATATTATGTTCTTTCTATGTTATAAGAAAATTATAGAATTCACCAAAAAGTTGTTTGGCCGAGTTTTGCCATTACATGTTAAGTTCGACTTTTTATTGTTACCTGGGATTTGCAGTACCCCGGTGGTCTTAATAAAGCAAATATACTTCAGATATCTCTGTGAGTTGCAGTAAAGTAATCATGGTTATCTACTAGGGGCACTCGTAGCATCCATCGTCGTCATGAGAATAGTCCATGAAATTGCTCAGATTTTCAGGTTACTCGCAAATATTACTCGAATCCTGTGCAAGTGCACTTTTATAGATTAAGCTAAGGTTAACGGCCGTTTTACGAGATGTATAATATCGTGAGCAATAGTAAAATATTATCAGAAGAAGTTTTTATATTTTCTAGACTGGTACCCTTTAAAATATAAATTTACATTTTTGAGGACGAAAGTGTTTTTTCGAATTTATCCGTATTTTGTAGGTAAGCACTGAAGCTCCGTTATTGAGAAACATAAAACGTACAGCAAATCAGATTACAAAGGCAAAAGAATACTCTTGAAGATAATGATTATTTAACTTATTTAAAATACAGCTTCAACTGAATCGACGAAAAATAATTCGAAATAAATTGTAATTCAGGTTCACAGTTACCCGCCAATTCCCTAAAATTTATCAAACAGCCACATTTGATCCTGTTTTAAAAATCGTATCTATTCTCACCTTTACGTTTTACATCTTTTTAATCGCAGCTTAACATAATAATAATCAAATCAGAGTCGTGAAAAAAATTGCAACTATATATTATATTTCTTAATTCTTCATCGATCCATCGAAAGGTTGGTCAAAAATGTTGCCTAAAAGACGTTTGAACTATACCTTATTTGTCAACTGCAAGTTAATAATTCGTCTCTTAGATCTGAAGGTTTGCTTATCACGCCATTATTTAAGCTTTTAAGTGATGGAGAGATCGAAAACTTAAAATTAACGAATATGGTATTCCTTTATCCACATTTAAATCGTCCAATAAAGAAACATTTACGGCACGCACGAATTTAATGACGTACAGGATGTTTCTAGAGTCTTTGAATAATTTAATTTTTCAATAATTTGAGTCAAATTTCATTCTGGATTCGTTGAGTTACTTGAGGCGGCTTCTGGTCCGTCTGCAACTGGAACCTACAACAGCTAGAACCTCTGCAATAATTGGAACCTCTGTTACAGCTGGAACCTCTGTAACAGCTAGAACCTCTGCAATAACTAGAACCTCTGCAACAGGCAACAGCTGGAACCTCAGTAACAGCTAGAACCTCTGCAACAACTACAACCTCTGCAACAGCTGGAACCTCAGTAACAGCTAGAACCTCTGTAACAGCTAGAACCTATGTAACAGCTGGAACCTCTGCAACAGCTGGAACCTCTGCAACAGCTAGAACCTCTGCAACAAATGGAACTTCTGCAACAAATGGAACTTCTGTAACAACTGAAACCTCTGCAACAGCTGGAACCTCTGTAACAGCTGGAACCTCTGTAACAACTGGAACCTCTGTAACAGCTGGAACCTCTGCAACAGCTGGAACCTCTGCAACAAATGGAACTTTTGTAACAGCTGGAACCTCTGCAACAGCCAAAACTTCGGCAACAGCTGGAACCTCTGTAACAGCTAGATCCTCTGCAACAGCTGGAACCTCTGCAACAGCTAGAACCTCAGCAACAGCTGGAACCTCTGCAACAGTTTCAGTAGTTTTGTCCACGAACCATCTCCATTCCACCCATAGGTAGACAGTGACCTTCTTGTACAGCTCACTGTTGAATACTGGATTCAGGAAACTGTTGAAAGGGATCACCACCAGACCAAACATTTCGAATACCATAGGAGGGGCAGGGTTGGTGGCCATGTACTGGAAGTAAGCTGCTGTGAAGATGAAAGGAATCCACCCAATAAGTTGTGTTCCGATCATTAGAGCCACTTTTAGCGTCAGAGCATTGGAATTGTTGTCCTGATTTCCGTTGTGTTGACCTTCTGCTGACGCTGCTGCCAAACGAGCTTTACTTTTTCTGTCCGCCCTCACGATCCTAGAGTAAGTAACCACGACAATACTAAGAAGCACCACCAGCACTGCAAAGTAACCCAGCTTGTATGTCTCGTACGAACCCTGAGCTTTGAAGATGTTGTGAACACAGAGTCCTGTGTTACCATAGTAACCTATTTCTATCGTGTCAAAGATCTCTGGTTTGGACGTTATATTCCTCATGCCCGCTAAAGCTTGGTATATATTCGCATCGCCGTGATACTTGTTCCTATAGATTCGTTCCAGATGGGAAATATTCACAGGATTTTCACTGAAGAACGGATTATCTTCTATGTTTGAGAAGAAGATTTCCGTCCTGAAGACATTTTGTACAAAAGCGAAGGGAAGCAAAGGAAAGATCGAATGAGCCACGTTTATCAAAAACATCATTATGGAGACAACGACAACAGCTCTCTTTCTAATATTAGTCCCAACTCTGCTAGTGCAAGTCAAGCATCTCACCACACTTACACAAGCAACCAATATCAAAGACCCATGAGACGAGAAAGAGAAGAGGACTCCAAGGGCTGAACAGTATTCACTTCCTCTCCACCTCCGCTCTATGATACAGTAGTCTCCTTTTAACTCTAGGACTACTGCTGCTACCACCACACAGCATAGGTAAACCCCCATTAATCCGTCATAAACGAATATTTGGAGTCGCAGGATTTGGTCAATTTCTCCCCTTTTTGAACCTGGTTCTCCCAGATAACACATTCGTCCCTCGTAAATATTCAGTGTGACTATTAACAGCCCAATCACTGTAGTTACAGCTAATATAACCTTGGAGTGTATGAGGAATTTAGAGGAGGCCAATATCCCGAAGTCACATGTTTCACACTCGTCAGCTCCGTTAGCACAATCCTTCACGTGATCACAGACCCTATCCTCTTCTATCCAGTAACTTGTCTCATTACTGCAATAAAACCTGTCCGGGCACCCTTTCTCATCTGCCTCATTCTTGCAGTCAAGGTGTCCATCACACAGAACAGTAAGGTGGAACGCCTCATAATCATTATACATATCGGTATACAAATCTCCGCAGAAGAAGACCATATCGAGCATGTGTAGAAAGGTAAATTCCCCACTAACAATGTTATCGCAAAACGAAACCCACATTCCTTCTACGAAGCCTGGTTCAGTACTACAATTGTTTTTGCAGAGCATGGATAGGTTAGTGTTTAAGTCGGCCAGTATGTTCGCTATACGACCATTATCAAAGAGTTGTGTAAGACATTCGTAAATGGGGTTGGTTTTTTCGGGATCCTCATGATTTGAAAGGGGTGCAGATTCAACTTCTACCGTGCAATTTAGATCATTGATCACCCCGTCATGTTCTGCTAGCCAATAAGTGGCTGGGGATAAGCAAAGTTTTATCCCGCCCATAAAGTTTGGACAGGAAAGTAGCGCAAAGTCCGGACAGAAGCACTCATCTGAGCCATCTTCGCACTGTTGAACACTGTCACAAACCATTTCAGAAGAAATGCAGCCTGACCCGTCAAAGCAGTAAAAGTAAAATGCAGATGTGTTAGCCGGGGCATCTGCCGCGCAATGGCATTCGTCAGTAGAACAATGGGATACACCATCACAGACAAGACTGATCTCTAGCTTGCAGAACCAATTTGTACTCATGGTGGTCCTGATATACTCTTCAAGATTGTGAACACTATAGAATTTACCTGTGCTCGTCAGATCGTGGAATATGTCAAAGTTGAATCTACATTTGAAGTAATCA